TGTTGCTCTTCTCTGTACTCTTTCTAGAGTCTCAACATCTTTTTTACATCGTGGTGACCAAAACTGGATGCAGTATTCCAAGTGTGGCCTTACCAAGGCATTGTAAAGTGGTATTAATACTTCACGTGATCTTGATTCTATCCCTGTTAATGCAGCCTAGCACTGTGTTGGCTTTTTTGGCAGCTGCAGCACACTGCTGACTCATATTTAAATGATTGTCCACTAGGACTCCGAGGTCCCTCTCGCAGTTACTACTATTGAACAAGGTACCCCCTATACTATACCTGTACATTTGGTTTTTCTTGCCTAAATGTAGAACCTTACCTTTTTCACCATTGAATTTCATTTTGTTAGATAGCGCCAAGTGTTCAAGTCTGTCCAGATCCTCCTGTATCCTAAGCCTGTCTTCTGGAGTGTTGGCTATTCCTGCCAGCTTGGTGTCGTCTGCAAATTTGATGAGTTCCCCATCTATCCCCTCGTCCAGATCGTTGATGAAGATGTTGAAGAGCACTGGGCCCAGGACAGAGCCCTGGGGCACCCCACTACACACTTCCCTCCATGTAGATGCGGTTCCATTGAGGACCTCCAAACCACTAGCCATCTTGCTTGGGACCTATGGATCACTTCCCAGTGCATACAGGAAAGTATTAAAGACGTGATTGTTTTCCTAGGCTTTGGGGCAGAGGATGTGTGTGTGTGTGTGTGTGTGTGTGTGTGTTTGCTTTAAGTCGCTTGTGGTCTTTTGGTTTTTGTGTTTTTTTGTTACTTGTTAATTGTAAACTGTCCAGAATTGTCATCAGGCAGCCTCTAAATTGTACAAATAAAGTAAAACCAAAGCCAAGGAACACAGCCTGAAACAAGAAATGATCAGAATATAAAATGAACAGCTGCCTCACCATCAGCCAGTAAATCAGTGAAGTATAAACCAACGGATTTAGGCAGGAGTGTCTTGAGAAAAGTTTAAACACTATTTAACAGTAACAGGGAACACGAGTTCCTTGTCACTACAACATTATAAAGCCAGAAGCAATGTCTCCTGTCTCTGCAGTTACTGAAAGCAAATCCAGCCCTTCTTCAGGCCAGCCCTGGCTTCCCAGTGGTGTCAATTTCAGGCTGTAGAAAGGCACATTCAACTTTAGCAATCTATGAGCACCCGTAGCTGCTAAGAAATCCTTACCAGTTTGAAGAGGACCACATTTCTCTGCTAAGACAACATTTTTACAACATATTTACTAAGAGGTTAAGCACCACTGAATAGAATTAGACTTACGGCTTGATAAATCATGCATAATAATTGCACTACTAGTTTTCCCGATATAAACATTGTATAGAAGTCCTGCATTATGGGGTGCAGAAGTATCTCAAAAGCGAAGTCTATCAAGGATGATAAATTAAGGGCATGAATGATGAAGAATATTCAGGACCCTACTGTACTGAAAAAGGGGGGAAAAGAACTGCAGATACTCAAACAATGAAAATACAATTAACTTTAAAATTTGGACTATAAGAAAATGGAAACTCGCTAGACTGGTTTTAAAGTAGATTTTTAAGGGTTTAAAGTGTATTATTATTGTTGTTGTTGTTGTTATATCTTAAAAACCTACTTTAAACCCTTAAAAACCCACTTTAAAAACAGTCTATTACATGAATAGCAAGCAAAAGAAGAACCTGTATGTATGCAGGAAAATATGTTGCATGGTATTAAGAAAAAAATGGCACTGCCAAGAAAAAAATTCAAGTCAAGGGCAATTAACTATAAAAGCACAAAAACAAAGATGCAAAAATGAGAAGAATTTTCAGCTGCAACCTTATTTCCGAAAAAGCCTATTATGTGTCTTGGAAATCTGGAAAGAAATTAGAATGTGGACTGTGGCTGTTAAATCAAGCAATTAGGTTTGGGTAAATGGGAGCTGTACTTCCACCATACACCCAGACTTACTCCGGATACCCAAGCCATTAGGAGAAGCATGTAAGGAGAATAGAATTGAAATTGTCTCCTTGTCAATTATTTTTGTATTTGGCTCTTTTATTTCATTCATTCATTCAATCAATCAATCAATCTGTATAACTGCTAATGCCACATTTGTAACTCTGAATTGGTCATATGATTAAATCAAACCAATAAATAAAATAAAAAACCAGTAAAAACACAATAGACCCCTTTGCTCCCCATAAACTCTTCAAAAGTAACTACTTGGAGGAATGCAGGTTTGTGTACTTCTTCATTACGTTTTGCTTCAACTTAATAGCCGTATTATTCTTTTCATGACCTGTTGTTCTTTCATATATTTTGTGGCACATCTTGCATACTAACTATTCCCTGACAACAGGATTGGGAGAAAATAAGAGGAGAGAGGCCATTTCCTTTGATCCAATGTGTTTAGACACCAGCGTTGCATAGAAAATATTAGAACATGAAACAAGCAACATTTTAACAGTGGAATAAACTGCCATGGAAAGTGACCAGTTTTCCTTCACAAGGAGTTTTTTTAAGCAAACTCAGGATGCTGAATTAAAACCTCCCATGCCACACGATTTTCACTTCCCAATTATCAGAAACAGTTTCAAACCAGCTTGCAGTTGTTCTCACATTGCTGACCTTGAGAAGTCAGAAAACAGCAAAGAAAACCATTCCTTCACAAGCTCTGCCCGCTGGTGCCGTGGGTCCTGCTGCCAAAAACAATCGGTCAAGTCCACTCCACAGAAAAGAGAAATGAAAACAACCGCTATTAACCACCATTCATGTCCTTACTTTATGTTGGGTACATTTGTTTGGTCATGTGAAAAGTATCTTGTCAGAAGTGCTGCAAAATTGGCCAGCCACCATCCCAAGAAGAGGACCCAGGACCTGCAAAGGAATGTGAGAAGCAGTTTCTTCCCAGACGAATTGGGCAGCCATGGGTTTCGTAGAGTTACAGCATTTAAAAGTGTCTTCACAGAAAATACTAGCTTTGTTGTAATTTCAACTCCATTGTGGTGCAGCTGGAAATATATGGAAGTTGATAATCACTGCAGAGAATCATACATTGAAGCACTGGAAGATATGCCTTCCAAACCTTATACGCTGCATAATATATTCAAACCTAAAAACAATCCTAAAGCTATATCCCAAAATGCAGTAATCAGGTTTTCACAAAAATTGAGGTGTTTGTCACCGAAGAAAATGGAAGAAAGAAAAACAGACAGGGTATCAGAGTGCTGGGAAGCAGAAGCTGTCCCTGTCTTTGACTACAGATTGTCATTCCTATAATTCTTTCGAGCCGTCTTCCCCATTTCCTATGATGGCCAACAAATTCTCTTATTATTATAAGGGCCATATACCTACATGATTAAACATGAACCAAAGTTAAAATATTTCATAGTCTAGCAATTCCAGCATACAAGTTTTCCTATTCCATGCTGAGTATGGAATGCATAGTGGAAACAGGCAGAAGATATCCTGCTCAGTTGAAAATTACTCTCATAAGGCTGCAGTCCAGGGCTTTTAAACATCAACATTAATTCTTGATGGTTGGAGGACTCCAAGGTAACACTAGATGTAGCACAGGCTGCTCTAAGAATGTGTGTAGTCATGCAACATGATGGCTAAAATGACGATAGTGGAGTGTCTTGAAATCTTCTCATTCTTTCAGATTTCTCAGGAGGGAGCCTTATCTTGGCAAGGGACCAAGGAGGGCTTCATGTCTGGGAATCAACCCAAAGTTTAAAGCGCAGTGTAACAAGGGACAGATTTTCTCATGGTTCCTCAGCACTTCACTCAGATGTTTCACTTCATCTGTCAGCTTTCCAATCTCCCGTTTTAGAGAAGTATTCTCTTGTTCAAGGCACTCATATTCCTGAAATAATTGATAAAAATAAGAAGATCATGCATGCAAGCAAGAATCCACGATTATTTGTTGTTTTTGCTACACTATTCTTCATGAAGTGCTTAAATTCTCAAAAAGAAGTTTAAAAATAACCAAAAAGACAATTAAAAATGATACAATTATCAGAAAAATATACTTACTTTGAAAGTACATAACTACTAATTTATTTTCTTCCCAGTCTGGCTTTTAGTGTATTTAAATTTTACCTACCTAAGGTATAGTTCAGTGGTGGCGAACCTATGGCAGCGTGCCAGAGGCGGCACTCAGAGCTCTCTCTGTGGGCACGCGTGCCGTGCCCTGGAGATGGCGAGGGACTGGCCCCCGCTGCCCTGACTCCGCCCACCCAGTCTGCCATGACCACCGCGGCCACACCCACCTGGAACCGGGTGATAAATAAGTGGGTTTTGGGTTGCAGTTTGGGCACCGGGTCTCTAAAAGGTTCGCCATCACTGGTATAGTTTATCTATATTGTTCTATTTAAAATATTTCTATAGCAAATTACCAGTAAACTAATACCTAAGTGGCAGTGTAGAGCCAAATCAAATAGAATAAATCATACAGTGGATATTTTTTTCCCAAAACAACCATTACTCTTAACATAATTTGTTTAATAAATATTAATAAAATCAACAGAAGTCCCATATCAGAAGACCTTAGCCAAGACAAACATCTTATATCTGTGGAACCATGTGGTTGGAAAATCCAAAGGAGAGGAGCCTAATTGGGAAAGTCCTTTATTGGTCAGTATCTAGAGAATGAGCTACCATAAAGGAAATCTCCAGTCATTATCTTTAACATCCAACAAAGGGGAAAGCTTTGGTTGTTCTTTTCAAATGCACTTATATTTTATCCTTTTATCAGTGTAAACAAGGGGTGCAAAATATGAGATTTCTGATCACATATTGCTTGTTGTAAAAGTTGCCATCCCATTGCAATGTTTAATTCAACAATAGTGAAAATCACAAAATATATGGATACCAATTTTACAGATAATTAAATTAACTTGGTTTTAATTACATTTGAACCTAAATTACATTAAATCAGCTCAAGTTCTGCTTTTGTTTTGTTCTCTATATTTGGAGGGGGCTCTTGGCCATTGGTTTAAATTTTTTATTTATTTATTTCTGAAATTTAAATGCCATCCAGTTCACTCAGATTCAAAACACGAAGAACTAAAAACCATATAGAAATACAATACATCAATAAAAGAGCCAGATAAAAACAAGACTAAAATAAGTTAAAAGTTAAAAGGGGAGGGGAGGGTTGTTAAGCTGTCAATCACTCCTTGGGTTTAGTGTTGTTTCATGAGCCTGATGTGAGTTGACTGAGCCAGGTCTTTAGACTCTTTGAAAGGCCAGGAGAGTGGGGGCCCTCTTCCTGAATCCCACCAGTTGAAAGTCTTTAACTGACAGGGTCCAGAATATACCTTCCCTACCTGAGCAGGTGAGACAAACTGATGTGATGGGGGTGAGATAGTTCCTCAAGTAATGTGGGCCCATGAAAAAAATTGCTTGTTTCCTGATGTAAACCACCAAGGGCAATTTTTAGAATTGAAAACAGGCATTAAATATGATAATAAATAAAATCTCCATATTTAGGGGCATTATGCTGTAGCTTTAAATGCTATAGTCGTAGGGCAAATTGTGAAGAAAACTGGCTGTAGGTTTTTTAATAATTATATAATAATAAAGTTGGAAGGGACCTTGGAGGTCATCTAGTTCAACCCCCTGCTCAGGCAGGAAACCCTAAACCATTTCAGACAAATGGCTGTCCAGTTTCTTCTTAAAAACTTCCAGTGTTGGAGCATTCACCACTTCTGGAGGCAGGTTGTTCCACTGGTTAATTGTTCTAACTGTCAGGAAGTTTCTCCTTAGTTCTAGGTTGCTTCTCTCCTTGATTAGTTTCCATCCGTTGCTTCTTGTCCTGCCTTCAGGCGCGTTGAAGAATAGCTTGACTCCCTCTGGCAGCCCCTGAGATATTGGAATACTGCTATCATGTCCCCCCTCGTCCTTCTCTTCATTAAACTAGACATACACAATTCCAGCAACCGTTCCTTATATGCTTTAGCCTCCAGTCCCCTAATCATCTTTGTTGCTCTTCTCTGTACTCTTTCTAGAGTCTCAACATCTTTTTTACATCGTGGTGACCAAAACTGGATGCAGTATTCCAAGTGTGGCCTTACCAAGGCATTGCAAAGTGGTATTAACACTTCACGTGATCTTGATTCTATCCCTCTGTTAATGCAGCCCAGCACTGTGTTGGCCTTTTTGGCAGCTGCAGCACACTGCTGGCTCATATTTAAGTGATTGTCCACTAGGACTCCGAGGTCCCTCTCACAGTTACTACTATTGAGCAAGGTACCATCTATACTATACCTGTGCATTTGATTTTTCTTGCCTAAATGTAGAACCATACTTTTTTCACCATTGAATTTCATTTTGTGAAAGAGAGAGAGAGAGAGAAAGAGGGGGGGGAGAGAAAAAGAGAGAGGGAGAGAGAAAGAGAGAGAAAGAGGGGGAGAGAGAAAAAGAGAGAGAGGGAGAGAGAGAGAGAAAAAAAGAGAGGGGGAGAGAAAAAGAGAGAGGGAGAGAGAAAGAGAGAGAAAGAGAGAGGGGAAGAGAGAGAAGAAAGAGAAAAAGAGAGAGGGAAAGAGAAAGGGAGAGAAAGAGAGAGAGAGAAAAAAGAGAGAGGGGGAGAGAGAGAGAAAAAGAGATGGAGAGAGGGAGAAAGAGAGGGGGGAGAGGAAAGAGAGAGAGAGGGAGAGAGAAGAAAGAGAGAAGGAGAGAGGAAAGAGAAAGAGAGAGGGAGAGGAAAGAGAGAGAGAAAGAGAGAGAGAACTCCTGCACAGCAGCCTCTATTTCTTTTTAATTAAACTCTTCAATCAAGCTCCCCTTCCCCTCGCGCGCGCATGTGCGCGCAAATTTTGCAGCTCCCAGTGTTTTCTTTTCTCTGGGAAACAGGTCCAAGTGGCCCTTTGAGTGTTTAAGGTTGCAGACCCCTGTTATAGGCCATGCCTGGTCATCCCGGTCTGCAGTTGTAAACCTACAGTTTTCTGACTAATCCATAGGTGCCTGAATTTGCTCAATCTCCTCATCCATAAAGAGTGGGTTACAAATCACAATGAAAGGATCTGTGTGCCAGGATAAATCAAAGGGACTCTCCTTTAGAAACCCTAAAAAAGGACCAGATGATCCAATGACCAAAGCACCCTCAGAGCTCGTCGAATGAGCTCGGTTCTCTTGCATGGGAAGGAAGGGTCTTTGGCACCAGACTTCCAAAAAAAAAAAAAAAAGAGAAGTTACTTTTACAAACATCAAATTTCCCCGTGCCTGTCTGATCTCAATTTTAACCAAAACCAAAGCATGAATGAGAAGTTATTTTTGAGTTCCAGTAAAAGAAAGGAAACCAAGAGGGACTCAGAAAGAAATTGCTTTACAAGGCAAATGTACATCAAATGGCTAGTTTCCCCCTTGATTTGAATGTGGCTAAAATAGAAATGCATCAATGTCCTGAACTAAAAAAGAATACAAAACAAAAGCCATCGCTGCTCAGCCACCATGACCAATATATTCATTAACTGCTTTACTGCACACATGAAGTCCAAGAATGGATGAATAATATGCTTTCTTCCATAGAAAGGGCATGTTGGACTCTGGTCCTCTACCCTTATTCATCATTTTACTCAGGTATATTCATAATTGCTCATATGAAAGCTTTGAAGCATTGGATAACAATCTCAGTCTTGGCCAATGCACTTGCTATTCTACACTTAAACTCTGTTCTTTAGAAGTCAGCTTAAAAGCATCAATTGTTCAATTGGAAAAGAGAACATGGGGAAAAAATGTTGCAATGATTAAACATGGAACATTAAAAATCACAATAATATTATAAATTGTTTCTCCTGCCCAGTTGTCTATCAGTTAGAACAAGACTGTTTGGAAGAGATTTCTAGGCATAATAGGATATTAGAATAAGATTCTAATATCCTGATTCTGTTCGCAAGCTATCCGAAAAATGCCAGGCTGGTCTGGAGCAAAACACTAAACTGTATGAAGAAGAGGATAAAAAGGCACCCAGCCAGGGACATTCCATATCCATAAGCCCTGAGTTGACAACTGACTTCAACACACTGATGGCAAGATAGGGGCTCACCCACACATCTTCCTTACTGGACTGCCAAAATGGCCTGCTAACTGTTTGCTGAGGAAAATGTGTATTAGATCAGAGGTCCCCAACCTTTTTGCTACCATGGACCGGTTCTGTGGAGAAAGGTTTTTCCACAGACTGGAGGGGGCGTGGTTTCCTGTATTGCCTGCATATTTTATATATATATATGAGATAAATGTTTCCCCTGTCCAATCATGTCTGACTCTAGTGGGTGGTTCTCATCTCCATTTCTTAGTCGAGAAAAAGGGAAAGTAAAGAAAGAAAATAACTCAACCCTGATTCATAGCAAGATAAATCTGTCACTTCCCAAAATTGACAATGCAGGTAAATCCAGACAAATCTGTACTTTTTCATGAGCTATACCCTGTGAAATTCAGTGCCTTGGGCATTTGTGACAGTGAGTAGCTGAAGCATCATCAGAAAAGTGTTAATGGGGGAACAACATCTAAGTATGGATGCTTTGTGGTTAGAAACAGCGTATTGTCAATTACAGCATGTTATGTGCAACCTGTGGGAGATAGTGACTTCCTTTGTAGTCTTTGCCTAAGCATCCATCTAGCTTAGCCTTTCCCAGACTTGGGTAACCAGATTTTGGTGTAGGCCCTGAGACTCAATCCATCTAGAGAATGCTGACTTGGAAATATTGCTTTTAATGCTAAAATGTTATCACACAAACTTAGATATCTAAGAAAATAAGGTTTTGTCCATAAAAGCTTATTAAAGCAAGAGGATCTGCATGAAGGTTAAAAAAAAAGTCTAGATGCCAACTGAAGCCCCATATCATTTTTTATGTGTCTTGCATAAATAACACACATAAAAGAGGTGGAGCTTTGAACACACATACTCCTCCTCCCACTGTGGATGCCCCTAATTAAGGAACTAACACTGTTAATTCTTAAGGTGACCCATGACTTGTTTTGCATTTGATAATGATACTAATTGTTGATCTTGAAAAAGGCCAGTGCATCAGTCACCTCATGGAGTTTATCTGCTTTCTGAGTTTGTTTCTTTCGGCTTCTCTGGGCAGCGACTCTGTTTTTCTCTCTCCGTCTTACTCGTCTTTCATCATCATCATGACTCTGGTCAATAAAATCAGAATATGCTTGTTTAGTTAACAACTTCCCTTTTTTACCAAAAAATCCCTCAGCATCAAGAAAATCAAGGAAGCTATACTTTGACAAACACACCGTTGATAATCTTGTGAGCTTTGATCACCTTTTCCAAGAGTGGCTGATATTTCTATTTTCCTTACATTGAGTGGTAAAGAAATTTACACATAGTCTTGTTAGCATATTGATGTAAACTAAAGACTGGTTACAAGAACTCTTGTGGCTGTATCTGGTTCACACAGTATTCTGAGTGAAAGATAGCTAACTCTGTTCTCCTGCCCAATGACAGCTTGCAAGAGTTCCTAGGAAGAGGATATGAGTGAGCCAGAGTTTGCTTTCTTTTTCCTGGGATATTTGAATAGTTATTTTTAATAATAATAATAATAATAATAATAATAATAATAATAATAATAATAATAATAATAATAATAATAATAATAATAATAATAATACTTTAATTTATACCCCGCCCTTCTCCCGAGGGACTCAGGGCGGCTTACAGGTAAGTAAAAACAGAGCTATACAATAAATATCTAAAAACCAAATTAAAATATATATTAGATAAACC